GTCAGTTCAATGTTAAAGGCAGCACCCGTCCTTCTAATCTATCAGTTCAAAATTAAAGACAGCAGCCTTACTTTTAATCTATCAGTTCAAAATTAAAGACAGCAGCCTTCTTTCTAATATATTACTTCAAAATTAAAGGCAGCAGCCTTACTTTTAATCTATCAGTTCAAAATTAAAAACAGCAGCATCCCTTCTAACCTATCAGTTCAAACGTAAAGACAGCAGCATTTCTTCTAATTCATCAGTTCAAAATTAACGAGAGCATTCTTCGTTCTAATTTATCAGTTCAATATTAAAGACATCAGTCTCCCGTCTAATCTGTCAGTTCAATGTTAAAGGCAGCAGCCTTCCCTCTAATTTATCAGTTCAAAATTAACGAGAGCAGACTTCCTTCTAATCTATCTGTTCAAAATTAAAGACAGCTATGTGTAGATAACCCTTTTTGTTGTTTTGCACGAAGTTTTTTAAACAAGCAAACAAATCTTCTTCCTATCGTGGTGTTTTTGTTTTGTCTTTACTTTCGGTACTGCATCTTCTTGAAAACATTAACAGTGAGATATTGGTACTACAGAAAGTTTAAATTACTTTACATGGTATTGTATTTTAACCTACTGTTCGATTGCTACAACATGTTTATTAATCTTATCCGTTGGTTTTAACTTGATTGAAAATTTTAATAAAATTAATTATCTGTACCATTTCTTTGGAATTGCGCTTTTTCTTCTGGAAATGGTTTATGGAAAATGTAATATGCATTATATTTTTGTAAAGATGAGAGTAAAATAAATAATTTCTTTATAATTAACTCGCATGAGTACTGAGAAAACATTCACAAATACACACAATGAATAATCATGTTCTTCGCCAAATTAGCTAATTTCGCCAATTTCCTTTGTGACTGTTTGGCTGATGGGGTAAAGAGTAGTCTTTTCAAGATAATGTTTGGTTAAGTACAAAACTATACAATGGGCTATCTGTGCTCTGTCTACCACGGTTATTGAAATTCGAACAGTTTTTATCAATCTCACAATATCACTTGGTCTGTTATTAAATGTATTAATGTCCATTGTTTGTACTCTGTTTATGAATTGTTTATTAAACACTTATTCTTTGTATAAACCTTTCTCTTCTTTTATTATTCGTGACTCATGTTTAGAGATTCCCCAAAGATCCTACTGCCTAACCTATCCTACTGAACAGCTCATGTCTAGCACAAATTTCTCCTTTACCCTGATAACTATTCTACGCATCTATTTATATTCTCATACCTCTGGAAGAGTTCTATATAGTTTAACAGCCCTATTAGGATACAGTAATATTTTCACTCCTTCTTATAATGAATCGACTCCCCCTCTTTAGAAAAAAGGAGAAGAATTAATGTTGAAAGAAATGTCAAGTTATATGTTTCTTCTTCGTCTTGGTTGTTAAACACAAAACTACACAATAGGCTATCTGTGCTGTATCGAAACCTGGTTTTTAATTAACGTTATAAGTCAACAGATTTCTGAGATTTGTCGCTGAGTCACTTGTGGGCCTAGTTATGTGTACGTTCTTTCCATTCTGGCTTTTATCGGTTAAGTAAAGAAAATCTTATGTTTGTTAAAATAAATACGATTGAAATTAACTTAAAGATTTTTAATTTTAAATCTAATAGAACGATTTTGCCCTTTTAATTTGATATAAAGTTTGAAGTTTAAGTATAATAATAATAATAAAGAAAACATTTAAATTTAAACGAATTTTCTTGTTTTTATAAACTTATGACCATTAGATGACACTGTTAACAATGTAACCAATAATTGTAAACATGGCAGAAGTGGAGGTAGCACCGTTAAGAGCTTTGGATGACTTTCTCTTGGGATCGGCGACATTTCAAATTCCAAACGTAAAAAATCTTGATAAATGGGCGAATCGTGTAATGAACAACTTGCTTTACTATCAGACAAACTACTTTGTGATGGCAACTCTGGTGTTTTTGATAATTGGGTTAGTAATTAATTGTGTTTGTCATCGACTCCTGACTTCCTTCCTATTTCTAGTAGTATGGGTAATAGTAATAATCCTAGCGTGAAAATCACACCCAGTGAATGTTGTAATTTGTAATTACTTTGCTCATGAATGATAATACTGGGCGTAGAAACTGAACTACAAACTTGGGAATTTTCTACACTTGTGCTATAACGTATAAGGCACGGAGAAAGCAAATCTATCATTTATATTCTTAATATTATTCTCACTCTTAGTGAAACACAAATAACTTACAATGTAGTTCAACACTAGTTGTCAAACTTTTGTAATTGAATACGTCACCTTATGAAGATAAGATTTAGTTTTATTACTATTAGAAATATTTTTTACAAAAAAAGCAATTTAATTTTTAAAGTACTAAGTTCGATTAGTTTATGTGATAATAATATCACTAGCATAATAGCAGAATTATTTCAGTAGGTTACAAAACCATTATGTAATTAATTAAATGTAATGTTTTTGTGCTTTGAAATTTATACTTGGTATTAGGCTAGATGACTGATGTGAACTTAAACTAATATCACCTAACAATGTAGAAGTAATTGTATTTATACATTAGATCTTAAAAGATAGATAACCTTTGGTTACAGTTGTTATACACTATACTAAACAACAGGCAGTATTTGACAGAAGTATTTTAAATAATATGTATTGTAAGATAGTGGCTTTGCATCTTTATGTAGTGCCAAAAGTCTCACTGTGTGTATTCACACATACATCATCAGGAATGTATGTGAACACTCCAGTGTCAACGTTCGGAGCTGCCGAGTTTGTTTGTTATAATGATGCGAATAGAAGCTATGGCATGTGTAACGGTGAGACTGAGTATCTACAGTCATACTAATGTGATGGCCTAGTAAAAAGCTTGAAATTTACCAGTGCACAGTTTGATAAATTACATAAGTAATAATAATTATATATAAGATTCTGATAGTATTAAAGAGGTGAAACATATAATACTCAGCAGAGAAAATAACTTATAACTAAATGTGATACCTCACTCGATTCAGGAATTGTAAACTAGGCATTCCACTCGATTCAGGAATTGTAAACTAGGCATTCCATATTTAGGAGTGTAATAAATATTTCATTTTCTTGTTATGAATCTAATCTGCTGAGACTGTGAGGAGGTGTGTCATAAAATTAGTGGTAAGTTTATGGTAGTTTTAGTTGTCAAAAAGTTCCTTGTTATGAATGTAATCTGCTGAGACTGTGAGGAGGTGTGTCATAAGATTAGTGGTAAGTTTATGGTAGTTTTAGTTGTCAAAAAGTTCCTTGTTATGAATGTAATCTGCTGAGACTGTGAGGAGATGTGTCATAAGATTAGTGGTAAGTTTATGGTAGTTTTAGTTGTCAAAAAGTTCCTTGTTAGGAAATCCTAGAGTTAGTAGTATACTTTTCAAGTGTGTGAGAGGTCTTGGGTTTGAATCTGAGCCTAGAAAGTGATAAAACATAGCTCACCATTTATGTAACTTGTGTTCAGTATGTACTCTTCCCACAACATATCTCACCATCTGTGTGCCTTGTGTTCAGTACGTACAACATAGCTCACCATCTGTGTGCCTTGTGTTCAGTACGTACAACATAGCTCACCATCTGCGTGCCTTGTGTTCAGTACGTACAACATAGCTCACTATCTGTGTGCCTTGTAGTTCAGTACGTACGACATAGCTCGCTATCCGTGTGCCTTGTACCTTCATGTCAGTGCTTGAATACACTGTAGTATTTCTCAGTGTACTGGTATTGCTATTATATAATTAGTGTGAAGGTATCTAACTTCTAATTTACTGTGTACCACTAACATTATTAAAGCTTTTTTTTGTAGAATTAAGCCATTTCTCAGTGTAGCATAATCCAATATTTATGATACTCAATTGTCTGGAACAATTTTATAACCCCAACATACTTTTACGTGGGCAAGTAGTCACATCAAACTAGCAACACTTACAAGAAATCTTGTTATTGACAATGAAAATAGTGTATAGGTAACGTAAGTAGTTTTGGAATAATACAGTCACAGCAAGTGATGTCTAACTTGCAATGTTAGGCTTAACTGAGAACAGAGTTTAAAGGAGATATCCTGACCTTAGTATGTTGCAAAAGTACATATTCATGCTTACCGATGCATAATGCTGATGTTTATTTGTTTCATAAGCATACGTTACAATTCAAGATAGTTTCTATTTCAAGAACTGATTGTAATATCCGTTTAAAATGTTCTACTTATTAATATAATTCTAAATCTAGGTTTCTCTGAAGCAATTATTAAATACAATATATTTTAGAAGCTGGAATGAATAAATCATATCTTGCATTCCTAATATTACAAAATATAAAACTCATACCAAGTAATTCCAAGTATTCCAGAATATAAAACTCATACCAGGTAATTCCTAATAGTACAAAATATAAAACTCATACCAGGTAATTCCAAGTATTCCAGAATATAAAACTCATACCAAGTAATTCCAAGTATTCCAGAATATAAAACTCATACCAGGTAAATCCAAGTATTCCAGAATATAAAACTCATACCAAGTAATTCCAAGTATTCCAGAATATAAAACTCATACCAGGTAATTCCTAATAGTACAGAATATAAAACTCATACCAGGTAATTCCAAGTATTCCAGAATATAAAACTCATACCAGGTAATTCCAAGTATTCCAGAATATAAAACTCATACCAGGTAAATCCAAATATTCCAGAATATAAAACTCATACCAAGTAATTCCAAGTATTCCAGAATATAAAACTCATACCAGGTAATTCCTAATAGTACAGAATATAAAACTCATACCAGGTAAATCCAAGTATTCCAGAATATAAAACTCATACCAGGTAAATCCAAGTATTCCAGAATATAAAACTCATACCAGGTAATTCCTAATAGTACAGAATATAAAGCCCATGCCAGCTGTTGTCATTTTAGTAGAAAAACTTGATTAAAAGATAAATGTGTGACTGTAGTGTTATCTGTCCTTCAATTGTATTTAAAACATATTTTAACATAGTTTATTTTGTTGCTATAGTGTTACCTGTCCTTCAATTGTATTTAAAACATATTTTAACATAGTTTATTTTGTTGCTGTAGTGTTATGTGTCCTTCAAATGTATTTAAAACATATTTTAACATAGTTTATTTTGTTGCTATAGTGTTATCTGTCCTTCAATTGTATTTAAAACATATTTTAACAGAGTTTATTTTGTTGCTATAGTGTTATCTGTCCTTCAAATGTTATTTAAAATATATTTTAACAGAGTTTATTTTGTTGCTATAGTGTTATCTGTCCTTCAAATGTTATTTAAAACATATTTTAACGGAGTTTATTTTGTTGCTA